TCCACACCAGCCATCTCTGTCCCCAGTGAAAGAGTTTTTTTTATCAGCAGGGGACATTATAAATGTTTAAAGATCGCAGCTTATACCAGAAAACATAGATATTCTGATAATTCTTATTTTAAAAAATGTCAAATCCCAGCACAGTCACTGTGTTAGTTTGTTAGCATTAAAGAGCTTTCTTTAGTTTGTATTGTTCATTATTGATTTGCAATCAGTTTTAAATTTGTAATGTAGCTGAACTAAGTTTTAGTTTGTTTATATAAAAGAGTCTTATTTAGTTAGCTATTTAGTTATCTTCTTTATTTAAAATACTGCGAAAAGAGGTTTACTTATGTGATCACATTACAGAGTTATGATAACAACATTTGATGTTTTGTTTTTCTTTCATATCGAACACAAAAACACAAAATATCAACTGCTCTAGCCTATAATGTTGAATAATGCAAAAGGGAATCTGATAATGACAAAATGTTTCATTTTACCAGTGAAAAAAATAATAATATCTAATAATGTTGTCCATGACAGATTGCAAGCATATATCTCAAACAAAATCATTCAACTTTAGAATTATGAATAGTTGTATTCTGATATCATCACTTTACAGTACATTATTGACCAGGACAAACTTTAAGTTTATTCAAGTCCCCAATTCCTCGTCAAAACAAAACTTTGCATTTCAACCAACAGTAGACTTACACAAATAGGCCTAATATTATTACTGTTGTTTTACCATACGTTTGAGAAATAACAATAATAATAGCCTACTCATATTAACCTTTATTTTACATCCACAGAATCATGAGAAAATTGTTAACTTTATTTTAAACAATAAAACATTATTCTCATTTTAGCCAGAATTGTGCAGCCCTATCATATGTTATAATCAGTATTTGATGCCAGTGGCCAGTCCCATGGAGCAGAGGGCTTATTGACCACCTCTGTACATGCTGCTCTCTGGTTTAGGAAAGACTTTCCTCTCCACACCAGCCATCTCTGTCCTCAGTGAAAGAGTTTTTTTTTTTTTTTTTATCAGCAGGGGACATTATAAATGTTTAAAGATCACAGCTTATACCAGAAAACATAGATATTCTGATATTTCTTTTAAAAAATGTCAAATCCCAGCACAGTCACTGTGTTAGTTTGTTAGCATTAAAGAGCTTTCTTTAGTTTGTATTGTTCATTATTGATTTGCAATCAGTTTTAAATTTGTAATGTAGCTGCACAAAGTTTTAGTTTGTTTATATAAAAGAGTCTTATTTAGTTAGCTATTTAGTTATCTTCTTTATTTAAAAGTGCAGCATTTGAGAAAAAAGAAAGGGCTCTTGTTCACCTTAAATTTGTCTCAAATCATTTTGTTAAAAAACATTGTGACTAAATCGTGAATCGTGAGTTTAGTATTGTGAATTCTATCGAATCGTGAGTCAGGTGAGTCAATTGTTACATCCATACATTTAATCTTTTAAAAAAATGAATAACATTTAAAAATGGCGTCACGGTGGCGCAGTGGGTAGCACAATCTCCTCACAGCAAGAAGGTCGCTGGTTCGAGTTTTGGCTGGGTCAGTTTGCATTTCTGTGTTTGCATGTTCTCCCTGTGTTTGAGTTTCCTCTGGGTGCTTCGGTTTCCCCCACAGTCCAATGACATGCAAAATAGGCGTATTGGGTAAGCTAAATTGTCCGTAGTGTATGTGTGAATGAGTGTGTATTGGTGTTTTCCAGTGATGGGTTGCAGCTGGAAGAGCATCTGCTGCGTAAAAAATATGCTGGATAAGTTGGTGGTTCATTCCGCTGTGGCGTACCCCAAATTAATAAAAGGACTAAGCCAAAAAGACAATGAATACATGAATGAACATTCAAATATAATTACACATACGCACACACATTATACTTCTTTTATAAAATCAAAGAGGTGTTGCATTAATTTTGATGTGTTGTTTAATATGTGCTGCCTTATATGTACCTTATTGCTAATATAGTATATTGGTAATATAGTATATTGCTTCATAATACAGTAAAAATAATTTATTTTGATTTAGCTTTTGAACATTAAGTTCTGTCTCTGATGTTATCTTTGATATGGACTCTAAAGTGCCTGATCACATATTCACACAGCAACCTTTCTGCTTCTCACTTTGGAACTCATTTCCCATGACTGCCATTTCGGGCAGGGGGGTTTTGTTCCATACACAAATCTGGACAAGGGTCGTCTCTTTGGAAAGCACCTGATCAACAGAGTGTCCTCTTTAGATCACGGCTCAAACTGGCACCGCGATAGGCTTGATCAGGCAGCCTGATGAAACGTAACACCGCCTGAATGAGTGAATAGCATCAAAGAGCTGGATGTGAAGCAGCGAGCAGGTTGGCCAAGCAGGAAGACAGTTGCAAGCTGGGCTCTGTGATAAATCTTTCATTCGGCCCTCTCGGCTTATGACTTCTCTTCCTCTCTCTCTTACTTTCACTTTATCTGTGATTCAGCAGAGACACTGGAGCCGAAGCCAGTAGACTGAAGCCATGTGATCAAAAATAGCCAAAAATAACTGACAGAAAATTTAATAAAAACAGCATGCTTGGGGAGTTTAAGTAGTACTGTATGTCTTAGGTAAAATAAGCTTGGATAGCGAACAAAAATGTGTGAGGAGTATTATTTCGCTATAAAAATATTTTCATACTCCAACCGGTCTTGAAAAGGCAGTAAAAAAAAGAAAAGCTTGTAATGTGAGTGGTTTTTGGTTTGTGTGGGCTTACAGGCTTTGCTATGCTAATCGCTAAAGATCTTTGTGCATAATACTATAGATTTATTGAACGCTATTGACTGAGGCGTGTTTACACTACATATATCCTAATGTTTTTATATCCCAAACTTCCTCCTCGGTTAATCCTGACACATTCCTCCAGGGCCAAGAGAGAAGTCACAGGAGGTTTCTAGTGCAATGTTTTTAATGAGGCCTAGAAAAATACGGAGGAGGGCTGGCTGACATCATAAGCCACTGACGGCCCCCCTGAGGTCAGACAGGGGATCCTCTAGGGTCCCTAATGGGGCCAGAGTACAGTCTGCCACTACGTAGACCACCCTGCTCAGACACTCAATAATGTTTTCCTCTGAGTGACAATCACCTCTGACTTCATGCTAATGGCGAATTTACTGAAGCTAATAAAGGATACCCTAGAGGGAACCACGTAATGGTGGTTTGTCATTAAGACTCTCATTTAAACTTCACTGAGTCACTGACGGCATAACAAACATGCATTCATATATACACAAACATCAATGCACTACATGTGAGTGTGATAACTTGTATATAAACATAAACAGATAGAGCTATCTTACGCCCTCGGTTAAACAGCAGAAACTGGTCGTTTAGAAGCAACCCTGCTGAAAAATCCAACTTAAACCAGCCTAGGGTGGTTGGGTGCATTTAGCTGGTCGACCACACTGGTTTTAGAGGGGTTTTGGCCTTTTCCAGGCTGGTTTCCAGCATGGTCTTAGCTGGTCAGGCTGGGAGTTGACCAACTAGAACCAGCTTGACCAGCCTAGCCAGGCTGGGAGCCCAGCCAAAACCAGCCATGTCCAGCTTAAACCAGGCTAGTCAAGCTGGTTTTAACTGGTTTAAGCTAGTCATATTCCAGCCTGAACAGCAAAGACCAGACTAGAATTGGCTAGAAACCTTGCAAATGGCCAAAACCCCTCTAAAACCAGGCCGCTCAACCAGCTAAAACCTGCCAACGAGCTTAGGCTGGTTCAACCTGTTTCTTTCAGCAGGGACGACTAGTAAAAACCAAAAATAAATCAATGCTTGAGTAATTTCATGTGGTCTTCTACGAGACCTGCTGTTACTTCTATTACAATTACTTTATAATTTCTAAATAGTCACAGACGTTGCTGGAGTTAACATTGGGTTTTCCTCCTCAGCATGTAAATCTGCAGTTCGTAATGTAAAACCACCATCCATAAGACACAGATCCAGACTTGCCCCTTTTTTATTCCATTGTGTGAATAAGCCGAGCATTCAGATGATGATAAATTACTTTTAGAGATGCGTGTTAAGCCTGAAACACCCAGAAAAGCTATTTATATATACACATACTGTACACATACACTACCACAACAGACAAAACACACCTCTCTGCATGAGTTTTCACTGGCCATTACGAACGAAACGCACACTTATTCATTCTGCTGCATATATTGTGAGCATCATCTCTCTATTTTTTTATATATATATATATATTTTTTTTTTTCTAAATATTTATTTTTACCAAATAGTTATAAATAGAATCAGCAATGAAAACTACTTAACTTATAACAAGTCAACTTCACCTAACCATACAATTATTTAGCATGCTTTGGATGAGACATTCTAACGTTAACATGGCTCTTATTTAGATGCCTATTCCTGCCTCTTAGCTTATCAGCAATAACAATTAGTACTAATTGCAGATTAATAAATATGTAGAAAACAACCACAAAAACAAGCTAAAACAATAAGGTTAGAACTTCTTTCATGGGAATTATAGGAGGATGTGCTTTCATGCTTATACTAACTCTAACCATGTCTGACATTCAACCCTATAGGTTAAACGGGTCAAAAGGATTGCTTGGATAGGGTCGTGTTACACTCGTAAGAGTGAAATATGGATACATTAGAAAAACAACCAGTTACATAAACATTATGATGCAGATCCTATCTTCATTTCAGAGAAAACAAAATTAGTAACAATTCCCCATCTGTCTGTTCTGATCTACTGAGGTTTTCTAGTGAGCAGAAGCAGGCATGGGAACTGTCAGTTTCTTAGAGGGCAAAAAATGAATCTTGCGCCAGAAGAACAGCAATCAAAGGCAGAGAGCTAGAAATAAGGCTCTTAAATAAACCATGCACAACAGATTCAATTATAGTATTTCAGTACACTGAAGAACTTCTGTAATTAGGGTTTCACATACTACATCAAACATCAAGCTTCAAAAACAAACCTGGTTTAGCAAGGTAGTTAATATATTCTTACCGCTTTTGTACAAGGTACATCCTTTCCCAACAGCCAGTTGAGCTCCAAGTTCCCCTCTCCCTGATAGCAGGACTGCATACGCTCCTTGATCCGTGCATTAATGTCCCGAATACTAAAGACGCAGAGGGCAGAGTCATCAGGTGGATGGTGGTACTGTTTCTGTCCTTTGGAAAAGACAGCAAAGAGCACATCATCCTGAGCACTGATGTTAAGGGATGCCGCAAACACTCTCCCAGGCTTGCCCAGATATGCTGCCTGCAGAAGGCGATATTCAACTCTGTTTCGAACACAACCAATAGGCAAAGACACATAGGAGTGGAACTTGTGGTCATCTTTGCAGAGTCGGACGATTCGAGAGGTGTAAAACAAGTCATTTGAGGGTCCACTGGAAGACATGCTGTTCTCAGGTGTTTCAGGCTGAACGGTCAGAAAGTAGACAAAATTGCCACTAGCAAAGCCATAAATGTAGTAGATGTCAAAATGAGAGACCAATGCCAGAGTGTCAGAAGGAATTTTGATAAGGGATGAAACAAAGTCAGTGTGAAGCTCATAGTCCAGCATCGCTGAAGACTCTGGGTCACGTGGAAGCTTTCGGCTGGAGATTGTTGGAAAGTAGTCTTGCTTCCCGTCCACGGCAGTACCAATGAAGAGGGTCCCATCTTTACCCTGTGAGGGCACAATGACTCCATACATTGTGCCTGTCTGGTTGACACTGGAGAGGTAATGCTCCTTTTTGTGTGAGGGTTCCACCAGGATAAAGAGGTCGTCCAACCGTAGCAATTTGCAGACACCTTGGTAGAGGCTTCCACAGGCAAGCAGTCGATTCTGGGAGTAATCAATGAGTAATAGTTTGTTGATGTTGTTGGTAGAAATCAGTGGTTCAGAGCAAGGCTGAACGATAAGTGGAGGGTAACAAGCCTTGTTGTCATCTTCTGGACCAGTATCATGGGATACTAATAGTGTTAGGTTGCCTGATAACTTGTAGACACGGTTGACGGCACCAATGTAGAGTGCCCCTGTTGTCTTGTGAACTGTCAGGTGGTTGAAGGCCCATTCTCGTCGCTCAGGGTAAAACGTTGTAAATGACTGTTCACAGCAAACTACAGGCAAGATTAAAACTAATAACCAGCATGTAAAGGACAATGTAAAACCCTGCCCAGGGCTTTGCTTCAAAGTCCTCTGTGAATCCTGCTGTCCCCCCATGGTTTGAGGGACCTGACAGGTTAGGAAATGAAGACTTTAGAAAAGTTCAAGAAGGCCTTTGTTCTCGCAGTCTGAATGCTAATTCTGTAATCCAGTGCCACACCAGAGTCTTCACATGTTTCTGAAAGAGACAAAGAGAGAGTTATGAGAACATAAATCAGCATCAGCACATCTAGACTCGCATATAATCCAAAAGGAAACAGACAATGGAAATTGCACCTCATTCACCAAAACCAAAGCCCCCGGCCTCCATAGGAGGAATGTACACACTCACTAAAGAGAGGGAGGCAGCTTCTTTTAAGGACAATAGCAGGAAATTGTTATCTACACATTCCAAAGGACTTGATGTGCAGGATTACACAATAAAGGAAGGTGAAGCTCATTATACCAATGGAAATTAGCATGACCTGAGTCATGCTGCTTGCTGGTTCTCTGAGACAGCAGTTTCTAAGAACAGCATTCAGTCAAAGGTCTCTAGAGCAGTGCCTGCTTTGTCAGTTATAAAATCTAACAACACAAAAAAGGTAACGGTAGAGCATAAGCCTGACAAATCATTTTGATACTATTTTTCATTACAGTGGGGAGCCATACAATTTTTTTTAGTTGAAATGCATTTATGCCAAGAAAACTACGCTTAAGAGCTTTCCTTTCGGGCAATATGAACATTACCCTTACATTTCCGGCCCTACTCTTCTTTCTTATTATCTTCTCTTCCCAATCTAGTTTGTAATTCTAACAGAGAGAAAAGTACATTGAGAGAAAAGGGGAATAAAGCAATTTATATAATACCATTTTGCAATGGCTGTAGACCACCATCTCCCCCATATGATAAATCAAAAAGGGGGGTCCCTTTTCCTCTGAATTCATCCCAGGGAGTTAATTATCCAATCCACTGCACGAGGGAGGCCTGGATCTTATTACTACAACAAAGTGTGAACAAATTGGGTGCCAGTTCCATGCACTCTGTTTGTACTATCTGCTCTGTAAGGGGGCTGTTTAACAGGATCTGAATCCATTAATTATGCTTTCCAATTCTGTTCGTCTGTTTTTGCTCCTTTCTCTTTTTTGTATCCCTTTGACACCATTAAGTCCTAGAGGGATTAATCATTGGCACCAGAGCAATCATCCCTAAACGAATAAGGCAGCCATTAGAGATACACAATCTACACTGTCCGAACACATTCACCATATTTCAGCTTCCACTTTTTTTCCCTGTTAAATTTGCATGCATTGTCAGTGGTAGGTGGTATGAGGGGACTAACAAGTGTGCATCAGAGAATCACAATCCAACAACTGTAATTAGCTCGAACAAGTTTAAGTGAACAGGGCTTTGCTTGTGTGCTGGAACATGTCAAGTTATGGAAGCTATTGTTCGTCATATTGCGATTTGCATGTAGAGGCTAAAGGGACAAAGTGATCAAAGGTAAAAATGTGTGCAGAATTGTAAGCAGCACTTTGCTTACATATATCAGAGCACTTCAATTATAGCTTAGCCATTCGCCTTAGAATACACATGCTAGCTCAGCTCAGAGGTGCAGTTTATTAGCATGGCTGTAAAGGGAGCTGTAAAACCCAGTCCTGGGGGTTGGTTTTGTCCTTCACGCTGCTCTTTTGTGTGACTTCGCACATGCTGGAAGTGCAAACCATGTTCCCCTGGAGGTGTTATCTGGCATCTGCTGAGCAAGCAGCTTTCTGGCTTTAAGGCCTCACCTTAAGCAGTGCAATCACCTCTTGTCTAAAACCGAAAATCATCAGGAATTCATCTAGTATGATACAGCTCGTTTAACTACTACCACCCCTCTCTTTTCTTCCTTTTCCCTAACCCTTTATTCCCTGTTCCCTGCTGACTGCTGGCTCGGAGCGAGTGCGCTTCTTTCTTTTTATGTCGTAGCGACAGCTGCACTGAAGAGGGGACCGAATGGTGTAAATAACGACTGTTCAAAGTTTAGCAGCAGTGCTGTCAAGAACAGAAGCAATAGGGGCTTTGTTTATTATGCTTTGTGTTTTTCCCCCTCTTTTCTGCAACGCCTGACAGGACTCTGCTTATTATGCAGCCTGGCCAGAGAATTGAATAGATGAGACTGATTCGCCTCTTAGCTTCCTTTTATTGTTTGAAGTCAGCCTTTTACACTTGGCTCTCGGAAGAGATTACCATGTCAATGTTTGCACCTGTGAATCATGGGTTCGTCACACCAGAGCCTATAGGGATAATGGCACGATTTAGGCAGGTTTGTCAGAACAGGCATCTGTATTGTGGAGGCAACAGCACAGGCATTTTGGCAAGAGCTGTATTTCACCATGACAGTGATTCACAGCCGTACAGTGCACCAATGGAAAGGTAACAGTTGCCTAATTAGCATACCCATTATGATTCTCAACCACTAGACACTTTGCTTTTATTCGTATGCCCTGCCACTGTCTCTGCTTTGATTTGTGGTGGAGTTGCACCTGTCTCAGTGAAACCTAATGTATACTCCACTATTTTAAGTGTACATTACCACTTCCAAAGTGTTGGAACAGACAGCCTTTCAAAGTATCCTCCATTTAAATGCATGCTGCATGTGCACGAAACTGTGCTACAAGATGTGCACTACACTGTAAAGCCCAACAGTCAACTTATATCAAATGAAATGAGTGTAGTTAACTCAAAATTGACTAAAAGTTAATTCTACTCATTTGAAAAGAATTTTGAAGTTAGTGTTGAAGGTAATAAGTTACTTAAATACCTCATAACTTCAATGTTAATGGAGTAAGTTCACAGTACTCATATAGATTAGTTTTTTAACTTAAGGGGTTTGTAGCAATCGGTTTCCTCAAACAGATTGAGTTGCCTTAACTTAGGTTTTACACTGCTCAAATTGCTTCGTTTACTCAAATGGATTAAGTTCACAGTACTCATTAAGGTTTGAATTTAAATGATTTGCTGCCATTGGTTTCCTCGAATGTTTTGAGTTACTTTAAATTTTGGGGTTTAACAGTGTGCAAAGATGTATCAAAGATTCAACACTGTCTTTGCACTTGCTTAAAATAAAATTGTAAATACATTGGATTTACAATCCCCTCCTCACTTCTGGAGTTTTTTGTTATGATCAAGGCATTTGATATCTGAGAAAATGACTGAGGGTCTGACCCATGTCAAGAATGCAGTAACAGTGTTTAATCATTCAGCTCCGCTTTCAGTGATAAATATGCACTTGTTTTATAATTTATTCATTTCATTAAGGGTTTTAGAGTTTGACGTTTATTCCTTTTCAGTTTTATTCCAAATAATGTCTTAATGTTCAAAGTTTAAAAGTATTGTTCTGTTTCAGAGATGAGCTGTAGCAGAAATTGTCCACATTTTATCAGTTTATAAGACAATAACAATTATTGTTTACTGTAACAATGGCATGTGACCATACAAATGCCAAATGTATTGATAAGATCTCAGCCGCAAACCAAAGAACTGCATATAGAATATGTTGACAAAGATCTTTAGTTTGCATAGGGAAGTGTGTGCCATGCTTTATCTGTTGTCAAAAAATATATCTAAGTATGAATGTTTCTTTATTCTAGGACAGGGACGGCTGAAGCCTCAATCCTTTTCTATGGCCTATGAAAATGTGGAGAACTGTGTCTTCAATAAACATTCTGTCAACTGATTTAACACTTTAAACTTTGACTCTTGGTCTTCCCTTAACATGTTGGTTTCTCATTGGGTTTTAAGTCCAATTCCTCTACAGCAGATGTAGTGTTTTTTGCCATTTTCAGCAGTGCATTGTTGTTCTTGTTTCGTCTCCTCCATTTCTTTTTTGATTATGAAAAACTGACGTGTGTGCTGACAATTACCTAGCAAAGAATATTTAAAAGTGTATGTGTGCTTTGTACTATTATGGTGATTTCATCTATATTGGCCCACTGTACCAATACACAATCATTTTCATTATCTCTGCAGCCTTTTACACACTTTACCTTGTTATTCCATATAAACAAAATTCACCTCATTGTTACTAAAACTTATACCTCATTCACACAAGCAGCGACATTGTAGCTGCTAGTGACATGTCTCTCTGGTTGGCAACCTGCTACAAACGCAGGCCAGTGTATTTCTACAGCATAGAGAAGACAACTGGCCTCTGAGCAAGCTGAGTGAGGATCATGTGAGCTCTACTAGTGGTCACTCAAGAAAGTGGCTCTTCATTTACACAAAGTTGAAGGATCCTAAACTTTGTCACATCGTTCAACATGCCCACCTGGTCGCAAAAAGTCACTGTCACCCCGGGAGTTGCTCACTCTCCATTGAAATGAACGATTGCTTGTCGCTTTGCTGCTGCGAGTAGCTCATAATGTCAATGAGTGTGAATAGCACGTCACTGACTTTAGTATACACTTGGAATGTTTTTCACGTAAATCCAATTTTATTTTCACTTGTTGAATTATTTTAACTTCCGTGGGAGATATGATTGAGATGAATTCCACATGTTCACAGCAAACACATCACCTATCTCCTATTTTTTTGCACAATCCAGTGAAAATTCACATGTTTAAATTGACTTTGTATGCAACCTACTCATGCAAAACCTTAATAACCCCCAATTACAAACTTATTTCTTTGCATTATATGGGAAAAAAACTGTATACTTTATGAGAACTGCACAGTTACAGTGTGCACTCTTGTTCGAATGCCCTGGCTTCCTAAAGAAGAAATTATCACTAGCGCTCCACTGAGCCCCTGACTGTTATTTCACTTCCATCTGACTGAACATCAGCACATGGTTCCACTGAGTGTCATTTTATCATGAGAAAATCCATCCCTGGGTTATAATCCTCTCATCACATTTACATTAAACTGACCTCCGGGATACAATGCTGTTCAGATGGGATCCAAATTTAGCACCACTAATCTCTCGTGAACCATGGCGAATGCGAGGCTATGCTTCTAAAAGATTCTTCAGCTAAAATGTGCACAGGCACAGAGCTGAATTTTCAGGCCACACTGGTATCTTTTACACTGCGGTATCTGACTGGATAAAGCTCCAAAAAGGGGGTCATGGAATTTTCTGGCACGTTATATCCGAATGCATGGCCTTGGATTTCAATGCGTAGCTAAATGTGAAGCGGACAGGAAAACCGCTGCATTCC